CTGTTGACTCGATCTTCCGATGGATCATTTTGATCCGGAAGTGGCCCTTTCTTGCTTCAGGCCTGATGGGCTGCATGGCCCCCATCTTTGAACGCCTTCTGGTCTGCCGGCGCATGCCATGTCAACTTGTCATTGAAATTCCGAGCAATGGTTTGCACATCGTAGTCATAGAAGTCCTTTGCATTTGCTGCACAAAGTCTCACTGGATATGGTTGAGCCAGGTGTGTCCGCCATTCACCAGCTTCTGTTCTTCCAATCAGCTGCCAATGTTTGCATTGCGTGTATTGGCAAATGCCACGCTTCCCGGATCGGCATTGCTTGCCCTCGAACCGTGGCAACGTCAGCAACACTGTCAGAAAACCAGTAGGTTTCTTGAATGGTTTGCCCCAAGCACAATAATGTGTTTCATACCAATGAACTCCTTGTTTGCGCAACAATGCAAGAATTGGAGGACATAGCCACAACCGTGATCTAGCTGGGTTCTCAAGGGAGCCTCTCACATGGTGCCTCAAGCCAAGTAGAAGCAGCCACACTGAAAAACGCATCCACAAATTGCCTCATGAGGTTTCAGACAAGAGGTCGGCTGTCAGATCGTAATGGGGGAGGCCCCGGAGGGATTTCCCTTGCTCTAGTGAAGCTTTCGCATGGCGTGCCCAAGTGAAAACCCAACAACAAACCGCTTCGAAGCCAGTCTCCTATCACGCGTCTCTTGGATCTTGGCCTCAAATCGTACTCTGTACCCATGGTAATGTCCCACATCAAAACAAGAACTGCCTTTGAAAGATTGCCACAACCGGAAAAAATCTCCAAAAATACAGCAACCGCCAAGCTCCGGCCAGGGTTCAATGCTTCGACTGGAGAATGTGCTCGATGTTGTCCGCGGCCTGCAGACACTTGCCGAGCACCTTGGGATCCAGCTCGTGCAGCATTTGATTGAGGCGCCCGCCTTTCTCGTACCGGCGGACCGATGCAAAGCTCTTCCAACGGCCCCTCCTCTGAATCTCGTCCAGCCTCCGTTTTTGGAGAGCGAAGTCTCTGCTCGCCCCCCCGCGTCGAAGCCTGTATGGGTGAGGTGGACCTATTGCCCGTAGGTGCTCCGCTTTTGCCGTCTCTTCCATCACTGGTTTGAGCTGTATTGAATTGCTTGTGAATAGCATTTGGTGTTTTCCGCGAGCGCAGACTCTTCATGCGCTTGCTGACTGCTTCGGGGATGTACTGAGTCTCCAGATCGTCGAACGTCACGGTCTCGTCGAATTCCGCTGTCTTTGATGCCACCTCCAGCTCCACTGGATGTAGAACCACACTCCAGGTCCGTGCGGTCTTCTTGGCGTTCCTCACAGGTGGCACTAGATCGCGACACCGGAGCCGACTCACCTCCCCCGGCCTCAAGTAGAGAAGACGAAGCACATTGCCATCATGAGCGCCTCCTGCAGGTAGTTGTGAGTCATTGCATACTTGATCATCAAGCACACCACTTCCCACGGCAGCGGGAGCCGCGACTTCGGAGGATCTAGCCTTCTCCACCCCTGCAGCGACTGTTTCGATCTTGGCAACATCGCTTGTTTGCTCGACTTGAGGTGAGGCAGACGATACAGGACTGCCGCCAACATGTATTGAGCCTTGCTGAGGTCCTCGCCCTCTTCGAACATGTGGTTCAGCATTTCTTCCAGGCACGAATCGACCAAGGACGGCGGGGAGCGCTCGTCCAGCCGCACGGAGGTGTAGCTGATCAACTTGTCCCAACAATCCAGGTATGTCGCCCGGCTCTTCTCGGTCACAGACGCTTCTGCCAGACGTCCAACCGATTGCAACTGTTCCCTCCTCTTCTCCTGTCGTCTCCTCTTTTCCTCTGTCGCACTGCTCTGACGATCCGATTGGGAGGCCTCGTGGGGCCTCTTCTTGCTTCCCTTCCTGGGGGACGGCTTTTCCACCACTAGAAATCGGTGGATCATGCTCTATGCCATGGGGCATCAAGGATGGTTTGGAAGGGAAGATTGAGCCTCGGGAAGGGCCATCGGCAGGATTCCACTCAAAAGGCACCCAACGGAAAGCAAGTTGAACATTGCCACCTAAACTCAAAGCTGCCACCTGTTGTGAAACCCGTCGCATCTTAAAAGATTGGCCTCGACCCCTATCCAACGCGCATACTGCTGAAATTGAATCCGACAAAATCAACACTCTCTTCCCAAAAGTTCTACCACTCCTCAACGCATGCCTACTAACTGCAAAAAGAGATGCCCTTGCTTCCAACACAGGAATGGGTTCTGGTCGTGCCCATCGGTGTCTACCACAAACTTTCCAATCTCTGTCAACAACTGAAAAAGGCACTGTCTTGAAGATCTGCTCATGCGACTTTGGTTGCACGACCCGGATTGGCCGCAGTCCCTCTGGGCCCCTCGCCTCGTTCGAAGCCCATGCAGCGGCTGCCGCTTCCTGGGGATCGTCGGCAATAGCAACTCCGAAAGCATGTTCTCGAGGACGAGCCAGGTGGGGGTAATCAAAGCGCCAACGCTCCGAGTACCGACCCAGTTCAGCGACTTGACCAACCTCGAACACTGCTGTTGTTGCACCCATCCCCCAATCCGAAGCGTCAGGCCAGGTCCCTCCAAATCAAGGGGCATACACCAATGAAAATGTTCAACTCTCGTCGAACTGACCTCCAAATGCGTGCCTTGTTCCAGTAGTTGCGTTGGATGAAAGTATAATTCTCCCCAAACACCGACAGACTTTCTCTCCTCCCCAAACACAAAAAATTGGCATGCCCAACAATTTTCTCAAGCTGTCGTCCGGTGCAAGATCCTCGTTGCAAGAGGTATTCAAAAGCCTTCCGAACTCGCCAGGCTCTCATTGGCCTGGGCCTGAAAATGTTGTTGTCAAATTCCCAACCAAGCACTTTGATTTGCTTTGACGCATGTTCGACTTCATGCACGACCAGGCCGCTGTTCCGTAGTGCTTCGACTCCGGCTCCAGCAAGTGAGCTGACTTTCTCTTTGTCAGTTCCCAACACTACCCAGTTGTCGACGTATTCAAGATTGCCTTGTCCTCCAAACTGTTCTGTTCAGTGGCTCCGATGCGACTAACAATGCGCTGGTGAATCGGCACCACCACAAAGCATGTGACCATCCCATGGGCAGTACTCGTAGTCGGGGCCTCACCCACACCCCGGGGGCCACTGGACAGCCCTCGAGGTGCTCAATTCCCACCGCTCCGGCCGGCACAGGCCGCATGGAAAAGAAGTCCCTCAACTCGACAGGCAGTTCAAAATGATAGAAGGCATCCTTCAAATCGGCAGTGGATATGTAGAGTGGGCTTTCACCGGTCAGCTGAATTCGGGACAAGCACTCCGCTGTAGCCAATCGCACCTTGCCAGGAAGACTAAACCAGCAGTTGGACCGCCTGCAATCAACAACCAACCTCTGTCTCCCATCCTTCTTGGCCACACAAAACATCTCCACTTGCTCAATGCCCTCTGTCAATGAAAACTCCACCAAGCCTGCCTCAGAGAGTCTCTTCACGAAGCCCTGAAAAACGTTTGGAACCCGCAACTGTGGATCAGTGTAGCACCTTTGCACTCCACACCGCTCCAAACCCTTGCGGGCCTCATACCTACCCAGAAGTCGACTACGACAAAACGCACTCACGATTTCCGCCCCATCGTCACCCAAACTCCGCCACCGGCACTGCACGGTTCCCAGCGTCGGGCAAAGAGAGCAAGGATGGGTTGTAAGTCGTAACGGCTGCCGGTGTTTGGTCGTCACCGTAGCCGTCGAAGGCGTGGAGCTGGCTCACCGCTCCTACACCATTGAGCTCTTGAGGGCAGGGCCCCATTGCAATCACTGAATTCCGAATGTGCTCAAAAACTCGAGCCTGTGCTTGAGAAACACCATGTAAGCCCCCGGAGGGGACTCGCACCTTGTCACCACTGCACAATGCATTGAGCCCCATGACACAATCCTCCACCATACGATCAATGTGACTCGACCTCCGCAACCTCCGTTCGACCGACCGGCAACAATCAACATGCTTGCCAACCGTCCTGGGGCTGCAGCTTGGAAGAGGGAAGATGTCACGAGGCACCTTTCGCTCGCCTTCACCAAGAATCGGGGCTTGGGTTGTCTGCTGGCCACCCGCCCCCCAATGGCCAGTCAACGGAGAGCTCAGGGGCCCTCCTCGTTCTTCTTCCCTTTGGGATCCTTGGCAGCTTTGCGATTCAACTCCCGTTCCTCACGGGCCTTTCGCATGTTCTTCTGCAGGGCAACGTCCTTCTTGACCTCGGACTTGACGTGGTCAAGCAACGACGGGGCAACCATCAATGTACCTGCTTGCCTCACGACAGCTCCGAACGTGGCCTGCTCCTCCATGGTCAACTTTCCTCCAACCGACCTAGCCTCTGCCTCACGAGCACGTTTCCCATGGGCGTATTCGATGGTTTGAAGGCGTCTGAACATGAGTTCAACACCCAAGCTGTTCAACACATTCAGACAGTCGACCTGCAATTGATGCCTCACGAACATGCTCAACTGGAAGTGTTCAACCACTCCCCATGTAGAGCTCTCTAATTTGCACAGAGTCGACGACCTCGTTCGGCCTGAGCCTCAACCGTTGCAGCTGCCACCGACCACGCAGGAAGCCCATACACCTCCGCTGGATTCACACCTGGAGGCAACAAGCCTGGTCCCGGTCTGACCCTGAAAGCAGCCAGGTCCGGGTTCAATGCAGACATTGTTTCAGAGTGCGTGCCCTGGCCGGGTGTCACGATGATGTAATCATCGGCTTCAATGTGATCTAGGATCCAACGCTCGTGAACTACCACCGGCCCTGGGATATTATACTGAACCAATGCGTACCGATTGGTCAATGCCATGCCTCCTCAACCGGATGGCTGCAACCTGATTCCTTGCCAGAGTCTCAAGGCTCAATGGGGATGAGTCAGGAGAGCCGCTCTCCAGACTCTTGTGATCGGACCTCCGATGGCAGGGGAAGCAGCAAATGCCACAGGTCAGCACCGAGATACTGAGGCAAACACTCAAAACAACCCACACTATAGTCCCTCCACCTCCTGAAAGGGCCGGCGTCCACGGGGATGGAGGGGATTGTCGAGAACTGGTCCAAACTGTCCTGAATGGCCACGAACACCGCTCGACGAACAACCTCCTCCAACCGTGGGTCCACAAATGAATACCCCAGCCAATATGCAACGTGAAGAAGTGTGGTCACCTGGCCGACAATAATGCCACCCACGAGAACGACCCACCAACTCACGCCCATGGCATGCGCCCCCCACCTGACACTTGAGATGGAAAGGACCACGTCGGCCATGCATCATCTATCGTATTTCGTCAACATCGTTCGAAGAACCACAATGAGGTTATAAAGTTTGCATCCTCCTCCCTTCCAACAAAAACAGGCAAACAACACGCCAGGATGCCGGCTTTTGCTTGAAACCTGGCTTGTGAGGTGATAAAAGCATCGCGCACGCTGTTCCTGTGAAGGTCTCAGCTGGGTGGAACTTTAGGTAGTTCACCTAAGCCGCTGTCTTCACTTTCGAGTTTGGCTAGTGGATTTGGCTGCTGGACCCCCCAAGGGCATTTGCAAAACCAGGTTGCAATGGCTGGCATGTTTTGAATAGTTTTTGACAAAGACCACTTGAGCTACTACCGACTTTGGTGGATGCTCAAGAGTGCCCGACAAACCCGGCCTTCAACTTACAGCGTTGGGCCCCAAGGGCCAACAACTTGCCGATCATTGAGGCGTTCTTGGTCAAGCCGATGCGACCTAATTGGGACCAGGCCGACTCCATCATGCGTCGCAACTTGCTGCGTTCCAGCCCCAAGCGTGGATCCACCTGCACACCGGTGCAGGAAGCTGGGCCGATGAACAATTCAAGAATGAAAAAACTGGGACGCCTCTAAGGCGTCCCTGGACCTTGTACAAGCAGCTGGGTCAGGAAAGGTTCGGCAAATCTTGGCTGAAATCTTTGACTGCCCTTCAGCAATTGCTCACCCGTAACTCGGCACCTCCCTTGTGTCCTGGTAGGCTTCAAAGTAGTCCTCATAGATGAGCCTCAGCAATCTGGGATGCCGAGGGAAAACCTGCATTTTGATTGATGGCTTGTCCTAGGCAGCCCGGGAAGTGGGTCTAGGTCACTCTTCGTGCATGTTTTGGCGGTAAGTGCAGCTTAGGCCAAAGAACCATACCAAAAGGAATTGGACAAGCTGGGCAAGCCTCCGGAAATTTTCCAAGGTTCCCGCGCAACTGACTTCAGTTTTCACCATACTTTCTCAAAAACGGGAAGGTGGCCCCAAGTTTAGGACCATTGACGGCCCTTTGCCACATCCCGGAAAACGATGGGAATAGGTGACCAAAATGGCTTTAGTTTGTTCCTGCAAAATTGTTGTCCCACATGTGGACACTCAAGTCCACCATACGGTGCGTTCAATGTGCGCTTACAAGCGAGTCAAACCAAGCAGCGCCTCTTGCGCAGCCCGGGCCTCCTGAGCCACTTCCCAGAGGGGCCCATCCCAGTCCACTGACTGCAAGTACAGACCTGCCAGTGCAAGGGGGTTGGGATATGTCATCAGCAAAGTTGGATGACAAACTAGAGATTGAGCACTTACAGTCTGAGTGCCACATGCCTTGAAGATGCCTATATAGGTAACCAGAGGAAAATAGACAGGTGCAGAATTGCACTGGGGTTCAACCATCTTTGAAAAAGTCAGCCGGGGAAGGGGCTGGCCCTGAGTACGTTAGGGCGGCCCCTAGCCGGTATGGCGTAGACCTAGCGTTATGGTATGGCGTAGACCTAGCGCCGGGATCCCACAGGGCCATCAGGGAGGAGGTGTGGAGGTGCGCTCGGACGAAAACGGAGGGGCTAGAAAATCTCGCACTTGCCGGCATGCCAAAAAACAAACATCGAAAAGCAGTGTTTCTTGTTCTTTTTGCAAGGCAGGATGTTGAAACATTGTTTAAACTTTTAAACATGCTCATGGTGCACCCCCGTCCTTCAAAATTGCTTGAGATGCCCCAAGGTGCGAGTAATGCATCCCAAGTTGCCCTGCACTATTGGCATGTTTTGTTTCTGGTTCTGTTTCTGGCCAAAGCAACAACCGCAACAGCAACCACCACAACAACAACACCTACAAACAACCAAAGCAGCAACAACCACAACAACCACAGCCACAGGGACCCCACAACCACAACACCAACCACAACAACTACATACAACTACTACAACCACCACCACAACACCACCAACAGGCACAACAACAACCCTTTTTTTGAAAGTCGTCAAAGGGTCACTCTCTTCAAAAAAACCGCAGTTAAGGAAAATCACAACAAAGCTGGTACATATCTCAACACTGGCGTCTTCGTTGGTGCTAGTCCAGTGTGCATCCCTGGCACACCTTGCCACTTGAAAAGGCCTATAAATCCAAGGCGTGCAAACAAACAAGCAGTGTAGCATGACACCTTATTCAACTCTAACACTCTGTCATCAAGACTGACTGGGGGTATCACCAATCAAAAAGGTGAAAATCGATAATAAGTATATAGAGAACTATGTTCCTGAACTTTACAGACTCCCAACCACCAACAAGTCTCCAAGTTTGGACAATGTTGTTCATGCAGTCCCAGGCCCCTTGGCCTGAAACATGCAGCCAAACATTACCACATTTCCACCTCTCAGCTTGCAATTTCTCACGTCGGTCGTGCACTATGAGCTCCTTCACAGTGACACGGCCGCCAGCCTGACACAGAACCAATGGCCACCGCAATTTTGCATCCTACATTTGTGGAGGCTTCATTTCAGTATCGTGCCACAAAGTCATCATGAAATCGATAAAATGATATATGCATAAATCATAATGTCATAACGTGGTTGGAGCGGCCCCACTACCACCAAAGAACGGCCAAACAAGAACAAGCTCCTAGCAAAGCTCCACCCACAGCCCAATGAGGACCTCCAGGGCGGAGCACAACTTTTTGCCATCGTCTTCAGAGATGGCAAAGCAAGGGATTTCTGAAGGATCAGGCACGCAGTAGAGCATTGCACCTGTGTCATGGAGGCTGGATCTACACTGAACAGACTCATGGCTGCAGTGCGCCCTCAATGAAGCTGCGGACCCTGTGACCCAGCTGGCCTCCACCACCGATCTTGATCACCGCCTCTGCCCCCGCTTGGTAGGCTCCCCGTAGCAGCGCTCCATCCGACATGGTCCCCGGCTTGTGCTTCTCTGAGAGCACGGCCACCGCACCACGCAGCTTCACGGAAGAGACGTCATTCTTCGGAACAAGCACAACGGGCTTCCCTAAGAGCAACGCAAGGGACAAGGATCGGGGGCGTTGTCTTCGTGCGACTTTACTTCCATTGATGGGTCCAAGCAATTCAGCATCCAAGTTTGGAAAGCTGAACTGGGTCTTCCGTCCAGCTCTCCACTCTTATTAATGAATTCACTTCTTGGCCTCCTATGTGGGAATTGAATTTCATCTCAGAATATTGGCAATCCAATACACCAGCACAGATTTCATGGCAAACTGGTAGAACTGAGTGGGACTGGTCTCTTTCAGCATCAATGACTCCGCCATGACTCCGCTATGACTCTGCTATGGCTCCTATGACTCCGACTCCCACGGCTCTGGGTCTGCCTCGGAACTGAGCCAAGCTCACCTCCTGCGCAAAAACCTGTGGTGCTGCGTCCAGCGACAGCAGCTGGCCGTCGGCCTCCAAGACCACTTGGGCCCAGGCGCCGCCCAGAGGCTGGCCATCCTGAGACATCGGTGCAAATTCACCTACCAAAAGATTTCACCTAAGAGCGATGGCCTCCGACCTAAGAGCGATGGCGTCCGACCTAAGAGCGACATGGCCTCCGACCTAAGAGCGACATGGCCTCCGACCTAAGAGCGACATGGCCTCCGACCCAAGAGCGACATGGCCTCCGACCTAAGAGCGACATGGCCTCCGACCTAAGAGCGACATGGCCTCCGACCTAAGAGCGACATGGCCTCCGACCTAAGAGTGACATGGCCTCCGACCTAAGAGCGACATGGCCTCCGACCTAAGAGCGACATGGCCTCCGACCTAAGAGCGACATGGCCTCCGACCTAAGAGCGACATGGCCTCCGACCTAAGAGCGACATGGCCTCCGACCAAAGAGCGACATGGCCTCCGACCTAAGAGCGACACGGCCTCCGACCTAAGAGCGACATGGCCTCCGACCTAAGAGCGACATGGCCTCCGACCTAAGAGCGATGGCCTCCGACCTAAGAGCGATGGCCTCCAACCTACTAGCGATGGCCTCCAACTACGATGGCCTCCAACCTAAGAGCGATGACCTCCAACCTACTGGCGATGGCCTCCAACCACGATGGCCTCCAACCTAAGAGCGATGACCTCCAACCTACTGGCGATGGCCTCCAACCACGATGGCCTCCAACCTGAAGAGCGATGGCCTCCAACCTTAATAGCAATGGCCTCCAACCTAATAATCCTAATAGCGATGGCCTCCAACCTAGTAGCGATGGCATCGAACCACGATGGCCTTCAACAAACTAGCGATGGCCTCCAATGGCCTCCAACCTAATAGCGATGGCCTCCAACCTAAGAGCGATGGCCTCCAACCTACTGGCAATGGCCTCCAACAATGGCCCCTAACTATGATTTGCGTTTAAGAATGAACATTATGCACAAATATACACAGTACGTCTGATTGTGGGTGTTTTACAAAGAACGTGCGCAGGCAACTGGCTGTCTATGCTGATGTAAGTATGCACGTCTACCACAGATGGGATGTTCCCTCTCAATTCATTGTGAGAGGTTGGATGGAGTGATGTTAACGTTTCCCTGAACTTGCACTCACCATTGATGCCGCGTTACGGTGTTACGCCGTTGCACAGTGAGGTGGACACGTCCACACAAACTAAAGCACAAAAACAAGCCTTTGCCAGAAAAACTCGCTCTGGCGCTAAGGCAAAGCATCCATTCCAACCAAAACCCTGACAACCATTGGGGCAGAATGGCCGGCTGCCTTCAAGAAGAGAACGCCATCTACAGTAAATGGTGCAGACCCCAAGGGGTGGTTTGTATGGACCCCCACCTTGAAAACATCTTGAATCGGGTTTGTGCCTACTCTGGCATCACTGTGCCTGGTGATCACCCTTTCAGGGTACGGATGTTGTATTGGGACGGCTGGCGTCACCAACCTCTCGGCTCCCAGCTTCGCTCCTGGGTACTGCGGCTCGCAGGGCCAAAGCAAGGCGCGTGGCATTTGCAACGGAATGGACAGTCCCCTGTAGGTGGGCTGCTCTGCACCTGGAAAAACATGGAAAAACTGTTTCACCCACCGGTGTCAAAATGGTGTTGTCAGGTTTCACCAACAACAGCGGGTTTCACACTCCAGTGCATATGGTCGGCAATCATGGAATCATTCTTGAGAATTATACCAGCATAGACTCCGAACAAAATGAAAGGCTAAGTGCATGTACAGTATATACATACGCTATGTATATATATATATGTGTGTGTGTGTGTGGGAGCGCTGCCAGGCGGTGATAAGCGGGCCAACAACGAGGCCAAGCAGGACACACAAACCCAAATGACAAGGTCTGGACAGGGCCCAGGCAAAGCGGAAAAGAAAGGGCCTAAGGCCAGGACAAGGAGGCGCGGCCAAGCGTGGACACCCAGACCGCCGGACAAGGACTGAAGCAAGACACACAGACTGAGCAAGGACTGGACAAGGCCCGGGCAAGGTGAAGAAAGGGGGGACCGCGCAGCCATATTTATCGTGGCCGGGCCAGCCATATTCCAAAGAGGGAAACGGCTTTTCCTCAAGCCCAACGACAGGCCTGGCATAGTGCCTGACCGAGGTGAGACACCATCCAGCAAAGGAACTACATCGTTCGCAACTGGCATGCAAATGCAAAGTCTGTGGAGTGAGAACGAAGTGAGAACTGTTTGGGCTGGGGAAAACAGCAATCGAAGTGAGAACTAGAAACGGCCAAGAAGAGTTGTGGGCAAAAACAATTTAGAAACCACATGCCAAATAGCAAACGAAGGAAACCCTCGAGAGGCAACCCATGACTGAAGTCCAAACCCTGGCGGTCATTTCTGGAAGAAGTTCTTAGAGCTCTTCAACCCAAATAAAATGTCGAAATATGTCGAAATCTATCGAAATCTGTTGTTAAACAATCCAGTTTGATGAAGTCTGATGGTATGTTCAGTTTCCAGGTGCTTTTGCTGCGGCCGCACCTGGAAAGCCACTTCATCATCGCCTCACCGGCAGAACAAGTAAGCACTCTCAGAGAACAAGTATGCAGCATGCATGAAAATGAAGAACGTAAGGACCCCTACCTTTGTGTGGCCGCACCAACATGAACATATTATATATCTGACTCATATTATATATCTGACTGGGAGAGCTGGTTGGTTGAGCATATGCATTGTGCATACCAAGCCCTGGCACAATCTGCAACGCCCTGGACGACCATCGACCCTGCCGGGTCACTCACCACGTTGAAGGGGATCCGAGAGCGAGTCGCAAAGTCCCCAAAAAGCTTACAATTCTTCACCACCAAAACTGGAGTCATCGCATTGCCAACATTGCCTTGTGCTTGAGGTTGCACCACTCGGGAGGAGCAATCAAAAGTGCCCATGCCCATACACAACACCCGCACAAAGGCCCGGGCTTCATCCAGACTTGCTTCAAACCTGAGATGCATCCGTGCAGGCAAAACGGAGAACACTCGTTGTAAGTGGTCCCGCTCCCACCCCGAGGCCACTCATGGCTTCCCCTGACGCCCATGCCCAACACCCACCTGGGGTTGACGCTTCGGATCTGCTGCTTCGTGAGCTGTTCGAATTTCTCGAGATCCTGCATCAACCAGCCTGCCCCAACTTCCTCGACTGCTGGCAAGTGCATCTCCTGCACTGGGGTAGGTGGCGTGTTGATTCGCCACACGCAGGACAAAACTTTACGAAGCCGAAGTAGCCTCAGCATCGATGGAAATGGTCAAAACTCACAAGGCCCTCCCTGGTCCTTTGGTTCCTCTTTGGGCTTTTGGGAGCACCAGCGCCAAACCATCAGAACCAAGCAAGTCACCAGGCAGGTACCCAAGCGATCTATCCACTTGTTCCATTCCACGGACGTTGGCTTCGTTTCTCCCGCAGCCAGCAAAACCAAAGAGAACAGCATCACACCGGCAACGGCCATGGCTAAAACAGTGGCTCTGAGCCCAACATTGCCACTGGTGGCTCTGAGTCCAGGGGAAGGAACACTTGTGGATCAACCTTGAGAGCAAAATTGCAAGACATGTGATGCCACTTGGCCATGAGCGCTTCACATCATGAAAGGGTGAGCAATGTCCTTGAGCCAGTCATCCTGAATCTGCAAAAGCCACTTGCAAGCTGGCTTAGCCAAACTGGAGAAGATCCGTCACGTCTCAGAACTTGGTTGCCTCATCAGGTAAGGAGTGAATTTGAGTGATCATTGATCATTGGAAATGCAAAACTGTTGTTTGGAAACTGCACCTGGAATACAAAACACTCAATTGTCGTAAAACATGGATGGCCACAAAAAGCAATCAAACTCATCCAAGCACAAGCTCCGTACATGTTTCAAGGTCAACGGATCAACCAATTGAGTCGCTCCATCTTTCGTTGTATTCATCAGCTCGCCATTCGCCACAGTGGGCTCCAGCATCCGAATTAGGCCACACTTCAGCGTCCGACGCTGAAGTCGGTCTCTTCAAAGATCTCGAAAGCACCTGAAGTCCTGGAGTGGTTTGGTCATGCGTGAGGGGGCTGCTGTGTTCCATTTCTTCATGGTCCAACTGTCCAGCTCCAATCAGAGTCACCAACTGTCTAGAACTCTCGGCCTAAAATGATCTCGCTGTACATTACCCAGAAAGGTTCCCGGTCCTTGGTGAAGCTTCACGTGTCTCGCGTCCCCATCCACTACTCGCAGCAGTGGCCCCAAGGTGGCGCATCAGCGGAGCGCCAGTGCGCGGCATGGCCGCCGGCTCGCGGTCGGTGGCAAAAAGGGCCTCGGGTTCTACAATTTGTCCCTTACAAGCCCTACAACCGTTTGGGAGATGTGGCCAGGGGTCATGACCCCAATAGAATAAACAGCATGTGGAGACGACCTGTTGGAAGACAGTGCATGTGGATTATCCCATGCCTGTCGATGCTTCGCCATAGAGTATCCAATGTGACCAACTTGTTCTCCCATACTGTACAGTGCTGAATCCAAGCAAACCGTCTAAGAATCGCCAAAACAAAAGTGCTCACGTCACCACACTCCTGACTTACACTCTCAAGGTCCTGGTCAGTTTGCCAGAGCCCTTTTGAACCACCTATATAATTACCCATGTCAAGGGTATCAATTCCTGGTGGGATAGGTGCATCTAGTTAGCCGTGGTGTGAGGTGCAGAGCAAAGCAGTTGCATCCATCTTGCTGCCCAACAATGATACTGATACCATCAACTACTTTACATTCCGACGCTTTCTTGGATGCGGAGGCACAAAGTCTATTTCCTGAAATCACAGTTGAAAAACATCGCCAAAGGTGCCAGGATTTCCCTCTGTGCCAACTCAGCGGTGCAGGTGGGATCCTCGAACACATCCCCAGACGAGGACCGTCTGCGATTCGCGTCGGCTAGCATTGACCGGAGGCCCCCAGTGAGTTCGCTGGTCGCCTCAGGCTCACAGGATCAACTGGGTTTCTTGAAAGATTTAATCCGCACGGGCACGTCAAATTCCAAATGTGGATGGTGGGCCAATGCAAGCAAGGCGGTTTCCTCAAAAGGAAACATCCAACTTTAGGGCTTAGAAGGTCCAGTCCTTGGGTCGAAAAATGTCAAGATGTCGAAATGTGCATTTTCATAACTGTGACATCCTGAGATGTTTGAAGCCTAGCTGCATTACAAGAGTGCAGTGAGGCACGAGACTGGCTCCTCTCTGAGGCCTGAAACTGTCACTGTCGGAGCTTCAACACAACCAACCTGTTGAAACCTCAAAATGGGAAATTGCAAACAAGGAGGGCATCGCACGGGCAAATGTAGGTCCAATGAAGACATTGATGAAAGCAACGATCTGCACGCACGTCTCTTTCCAAAATTAAAGGTCTAAATTTTAAGTCTAAATAGAATTCCGGATATCCGTCTTATTGCGCACGCAATTCCAGGCCCAAATATTGCACAAAGCGAACAGCAATAAAGAAAATGCATGTTGACATTCAATGATGTTATGATGTTGTTGAGTACCCTCCACAGCCTGAGACGATCGCGGCATTGGCCCCCGCAATGCCTTCCATTCGGCCGTGCCGCCAATGCGCGCCAGGACCCTCGGTGCTGGTGTAACCTCCAAGTAGCGCAAGGCAGTGCAAAGCGCTGTGGAAAATGAACAAGGAAAGAATGGCAATACAACGCACTACTGGAAGGTCTTTTAGCGCCAACTCGTTCACCAACCGCCTCGTCCAGGCTGGTGTTGCGCGGTAGCAGGGTCTGCGTGGCTGGCAGCTCTGTTTCGTCCAAGGCCAACCTTCGGCCCTGGATGGGAACGAACATCTTTTCCTCGGGCAGCACTCGGGCAACAGGCAAACTGCTGGATTGCTTTGGGAAAAAAACGTCCCAAAAAACGTTAACCAATCCCATGTTTCTTCAAATGGGTTTCCCTTGTAGCCTACCCTTTTAAAGAATACTTCCACAGAAAAATATGCCTGAAACCGAGTAAGAGTGATCATGCACCGGCAGCTCGTCATCCTCATCTCCACCAATCTGCAAACCTGTGTCTTCATGAACTGCAAATCCTTCAGTTGCCGCGACAGGTTTCACTGCAGGTGGAGAAATGGGAATCAAGTCCTGGCGCACAGATGGCCTCTCTGCGGCTTAGGAGAGTTGGTTTGCACGGAGTCAAACACACAGCCACCATCACTGTATAGTTTTAGAAATTTGCCAAATGTGTGGGATCGCTCGACCAGGTTTGCAAACCTCTCACACCCCCTTTTGAATTGTCCCTCTCTCTCTCTCTCTCCCTCTCTCCGTTTTATTCATTCGTGGGCACATGGCACATATCACGTATTACATTCTTCATCACCATCAGCATCACCAAAGCCTCCATCTACATCTATAGCCATATCTGTTTCTCCTCAACTGCGTGGGCACGTGAGTCCCGTCAACCCCTCAAGCTTACCCTCCTGCTTGGTGCAAGCAGCAGGCGCAGGCTTCGGACCTGCAGGCTCGGTGCCCCCAAATAGGGAAATGGTGTGTTCCAATGATTTGTGCAATGGTATTATGTATTTGTATAATGGTTTATTCAATTCATTCTTTGGCTAATGAGTCTCCGTCACGTCTCTCTGGCACCTTTTCGAGCGGCGCGCTTGCACATGCGGCGCTGGAATTCCTGGTAACGGCTTCGAAGTCGCTCTTGTGGCTCGGCTGCCCGTTGCAAACCCAGCCGGTACCTCTGGCTGCGACCGGATTCTGATCCGTGAGGGTTTGGCTTTGTGAGCCCCACGCGGCGATCAAGCGGCTAGTGAATTGCCCACAAAGACGTCCATCTCCAGATTCCCCACCCTTCAAGAATCTGACCCATGACGGGGCAGCTGCTTTTGGACCCTGGCAGTTACGCCCAGGGCACTGCTGCTCCGCTTCCGAAAACTTCCGCTGGCGCTCCAGGTGTGAAGCCCAAGCTTCGTAGAGAAGCGCATGGTGAAGTCCGATGCCTGGAGTGGATATGACTCATGATATGACAAAGCATGACAAAGTCAACCAGTGCTCCACCAACTAATGTACAAACAACAATGCTAAACACTTGGCTTGACATTGATCATCAAGAATGAGTATCATCCACCCACAAACTGTACCCAGAACTGGTTAGAGATCCATTTCTTAAAGCGAGTTGAATATACTATATAAAACAAAACGAGCACGCCCAAGTCAAGCTGGCCACTCGATCTACTGTTGTAGGATTGGTTTAGCCACAAAAAGGGACAGCCAATATGCTTCAAGATTTGCTTCTGGTTTTCCATCCAAAATGCCAACTCTGATCAGCAACGGCTCGGAGGTCTACACATTGACCCAATTTCTTCTCATGTTCTGCAACCTTTCAACGCAACAAATGACATTGGGACGCGGCCGCACCTTCTGCTGCTAGGAAATCAAACACCTCGAATTTCGGTGATCGGGGTTCCCAGCACACGATTCCCTTGCAGCAGGCTAAAGACCAGCTCTAAATTGCCCTATGACTTTTGAGGGGTCTGGCACTCAGTTCTGGTGGCGAGAGAATCCTTCAGCTGGGAAGGTTGCAACAGGACGCAGCAAAACCACAATTGCCAGCATCCAACCTACATACCATATGCAACCGGGGCTAGCCCACTCCAAACCAGCCCTCACTGTAAGCAAACCAGATCTGGATACCCAAGAAAAACTATGTCAGCCAAAGATCCTTCTCTGCCTCAGACGTGTTAGCAGCATGCCGCACCCAGAGTCTCAAGTGTCGAATGTCATCCTTGTGTTTGTCATCCCCTGCTAGGGCAAAACCTGAGCTTGTGCCCGGCGCAAAGCCCAACCATATTATATAAATGGTTGCCACAACCCCCCAACAATCACACTACGACATAAGTGCCAGATGTGCAAGAAAAGTATTATCCCAGAGTGAAGTGACAGGCTCGGGCAAGTACTTTCATCTCATCATCACTGTGCCTGTTCTGCGCCGTCCATTGGACATATTCGCACCATGCAACCACCTAGCCGCACCGAATGGAAGCGGAAAGTTTCAGGGCGGCGATTCAAGTCTTAGAGTGGCCAGGACGGAGCTTATTTGTTTGCCTGACATTCCAACATTGACATCTGACGGAATCTCACGAAGGATGAGGATCCTGTCAAAACTACCCCTCCCAACTGGTGGTGATCTTCTGACCTTCGTCCAAAACAGTCTGTGGTCAAGGATGCTTCCGGTTGCCATCCAGGGAACTGGTGCTTCTGAAAATGATTCTGGCAGTTTTGGTGGCTTGCCAAGTTACCACATCTTCGCCGACGTCTTGCAGGCGCTGTTCGAAGGCATGTTCAGGCGTGTCCTCGCACAACGGCTCGAGCACAACTTGTGTGAAGGCTTGTGTGCGTGTGTCTGTGTCTGTGCCCCTGTGCCTGTGTCTGTGTCTGTGCATGTGGTGCCGCCATGTTGGAATCCCTCTTGTCATAGCCAAATGGCAAGTCATGGCTGGGTGTTTCCGCACCCATCAATACGCAAATTACAACAATTTATAAACCCTTCATTTCTCGTCACCAACTTTCCATTTTGGTTCGGCTGAACCACCACATCTCCCGCGCGTTGTTCAAGCCTGGTGTTTGGCAGTGGCTTGACGTGGTGGGTTTACCACGTCAAGAAGCCCGCCGTCTCTGTGGCACGAGACCTGCGCAGAACTTTGAAGGCCGGTCTGTGTGTGTGCATGTGTGTCTCATATGGCTTCTGCCCGAAAATGCGATGGTTCGGCAAGAGCGGCAACCATCCGATTCCATCATCACAGCATCACCCACCTGCAAATGAACATCCTCCCATGGCTGCGAGTTCTCGTTGTGCTCCTCACACATCTGCATGCGTCACTCCGCCATCCCGAAAATGACTACCAGCTAAACATGTTCAAGGTTTGTTCGTGGTGCCTGTCTCTCCTGCACATTTTCTTTGGCTCCACCACTTGGAGGCAATGGAAGCCCTTTGCAATGCAACCTCCCAAACGCCTTGGGTAGTCACTAGGCCTGCTGAAGGCTCAATGTTCCAAAAAAAATGTCTGCATGTTAGTCTAGTTTTCTTGCACCCAAGTCCCAAGTCCCAAGCACCCGAGAGAAATAAAAGAACTGTTGTTATTTCTGGTGTCCAGTTTTGCTCAATCTTGAACCGCCAAGGCACAGTGGCCAGCATCACCCTACAATTTCGTCACGCGCGGCCTCAAAGAGGTGCTCAAGTCGGTGAAATGCAAAACCAACAGTTCACCTTGTACACACAGCTGGCCACTAAGCCTTGTCGTTGTTTCAGTCATCGGCCAGTCCCAAACACACTGCTCGTCGACCTGCACGCCGGGATTCGCCAGTGCATGATGGCCGCGAAGATTTGCATCGAAGGTGGGCATGGCGGCATGGCTACAAATCGAAATCAAGCGGTAAGACGCGTTCCTCTTTGAACCAACTTCAACAATGAACCTTTGTTTGCTCATGCCTGTCCAGCAACTACTGGTTGCAAAACGCATCACTGTAAACATAACAGTGTGGACCATGCTGAAATATTTGCCACACCTGAAGCTAACGCGACATGATGTTATATGTGGGCACCGCTGTGAGAACCACAATGCTACTTTTTCACCCCACCACCCCAAAGCCATCCAAATCCATGCCGTTCGATACAGAAAAGTCGATGTTCGTGTTCCAGCACTGCGAGTCTTCGTTGGTGACTTGCGGTTCCGACTCTGATCTTTTCGACGAAGTCTTTGTCTCCTTTGGAAATGGCCGTGATTCTTGCTTAGCTCTCATCAAGGATCTCTGCAGCTTTCGGTGGCTGTCAAGTAGTAGCGTTTTTCACCACCTATGGCGGCACCTGTGCAGTAGCACGCGTCACCTTCATGGTGAAATTGGCCGAAGGGACCCGTGAGGATCAAGAAACAATCGAGAAACGTTTCAAAGCTCATGGCGTGGTGCCGAACAAACGAACGGTTCGCACTCGAATAACTTGGTTTCTTGCAAACAATGCGTCCTTTGGTTTAGAAAACGATTCCAAACCCCAATCAAGATGCATCCCAGCCATTCGCGCAACACTGTTCAAGGCCCCATCGTCTCCAAAAAGGTTACCATCCATGCAAGCGCCCTTCCAGGTGCAATTCTTAGGTTTGTTTGATTTTTTGTGACGTCAACGCCGGATTTAGTTGTGTCACAAAAGGATTCCAAGAGTGTCGCACACTTGCGATGCAGCAAAGGATCGATGGTTGGTGACCTGAGTTAGAGTTCATCGATTTTGTCACTGGGTATACGGACCTGAACTCCAATATTTTTCACGGCGATGTCCACCCCTATCCACTTGAGGGTGTTGCTGTATGAGGCCTTGTGAAGTGCGATTGGAAATCCACAAAGTCCAGGACTGTGACAAAATCAGTGTCACAATCAATGGGCGTCCCCTTGATGGGCGCCAAGGGTCATCGACGTATTTTTGCTTCAATTTTGATTACTTTTGATTGCAGGAACCTATGATGTGCGCGAATGTGAGCGTCCAAAGCCGGCATGACATGGAGGCCGCCGGTGCCCCTTTTTCCCCCCCCGCCTCCTTTTCGGAAAGTCATTTCTATACCTCCCGGATGCGCATGGCCATTTGTATACCGGCGGCCACCGGATATGCAAAAAAAGAACGGCCTTTAGGGACCCCCTCGAGCAAAGAGTTCGCCTAGGAGCAGGTGTTCTGCTTCAGCAGGATCATCACAAGGGAGAGGGACCAATGAAGCAGCAGCAGCATGCATGCTTGCATGTGTGATGATGGCAGGCCATCGCGCGATGTATGTGGCGATGGCGGTTGCCCGGATGGCTTGGGGGACCGGGCGTGCTCGGGTTTGCGCCAATTGTCGGACGAAGTGTGGGCCTCCGTGCTCCGGGCTGTACGGAACTCAGGGTACAGCCGCTCATTGGCTCTTCTTGCGTCTTGCACTGCCGTTGCTGCAACCTGCCCCCTCGCGGTGGTTCAGCCATACAACACCTCACCAAATCAACGTTATCAATAGTATGTTATACAATGTTATTATAACAACGTTTCTTACCTGGACCCCAGTGGTAAAAATTGGATGTACAGGAAAACGTGCCCTCTAGTGCGCACAGGCGGGCGGCTCATATTTTTTGTTAATCTTTGTTGTCTTGTTGTCTGCAGGGATGATAATGGCCAGCTCGGTGATTTCTGGATTGCGGCTTTCACTTTCCGCCCATTCGAGTTGACGACTACGGTCCTATAAGGACACCGGCAATCCAGGAAACACATTAACCGCCAAAATCGGACAAATGGCTGCACTTCGGCAAGCCATAGAAACCGGCGCTGCCCTACATCCAGCCACGGTTCCTGGTGAAAATCCGCCCGCACCGAAGGTGCCGAGGCGTATCTTTAGGGCACGCGTTATACCGCAAGTACCGCAAGTACTAATAGCTTTAGCTAGGGGAGGGGGCATTTTCGCTCTAGAATCCTGTGTTTTTGATGTTTTTGGAACCGGCTTAAAATGCTGGAAGATAAATTTGCGCTAACCTGAAGCCTTTAGTGATGCAAGAAATGCAAGTTTCTGCTTTTCATCGTCTGCATCATCTGAGCGGTGCATTCAGCGGTACATAGCTATCTAACGGCCGTGTCTGCGAGATAGGTAACTTCAACGTCGTAAACATGGCCGAACGAGGGTTCAAAAGGGACATCATCTGAGCGGTACATTGAGTGGTACCCCACAATTCCCTATCTCAAGTATGCTTCCTCGAGATAGGTACTTGAACGTCGTAAACATGGTCTAACGAAGGCTGCAAAGGGACTGGAATAGAGTGAAGATATTGCCTAACAGAGCCCTAGAAGTCACTATCTAAAGGACGTGTCTGCGAGATAGGGACTTGAACGTCGTAAACTGGAATAAAGCCACCCCCCTAACGTGGCCAAACATAACTTCCATATTGCCTAGAAGTCACTATCTAACGGACGTGTCTGCGAGATAGGGACTTGAACGTCCGGGTACGTGGCTGGTCAGGAGCAGAGATCAGCCGGTCAGGTCCAGGAACGGTTACATTATCTCACGAGCATAGCTCTCATATGGTCGAACATAACCCCAGAAGTCACGCGCCTATGACGAAGACAGTCACACGTAAGTTGGATGTGTTGAGGCGACGTATGTTGCGCAGAGCTGTGGGATGGGTTAGGTTTGATGCGAACATTGGCAGACAACAATGCGTCGCATGAATGCTAGATGGGAGAATGCCCCAGCCGAATCAGTCCATTGAAATTGCGGAACGATATTTTTTCATTTAACAGAATTTCGTTTGGCCGCTCGCATTGGATCTCGGGCAAATTCCTAGCCCACTTTGTGGTGGAGATGGGGTCCAACACATAATGGCAGATGAATATGTCGTCGGCAGGTCCGGCCTGCAATCAGATGGGATGATTCGTTATCAACATTTTCGGCAAAATATTGCCCGCACCGCATATTACCACCGAATATAACAAAAAGACTGCTACCGGAACACGATCTGGAAGGGGGTCTTGTGCTCTTGGAGCCAAGGGCGTCAGTACGAAAGGAAGTTGCAAAGCGAGATGTCTCTTCTCAAAGTAGCTCAAGATCGCGCAATTCGGCCCAAGAGCAGAGATAAGTAGAGATAAGGTCAAGTAACGGTAACGGTTGTCCTAACGTGGCCCGACATAGTTGTCGAACACAGCCCCATATGAGAGCTATGGTCTTGAGATAATGTTACCGTTCCTGGACCTGACCGGCTGATCTCTGCTCCTGACCAGCCACGTACCCGGACGTTCAAGTCCCTATCTCGCAGACACGTCCGTTAGATAGTGACTTCTAGGCAATATGGAAGCTATGTTTGGCCACGTTAGGGGGTGGTTCTATCCCAGTTTACGACGTTCAAGTCCTATCTCGCAGACACGTCCTTTAGATAGTGACTTCTAGGGCTCTGTTAGGCAATATCTTCACTCTATTCCAGTCCCTTTGCAGCCTTCGTTAGACCAAGTTTACGACGTTCAAGTACTTATCTCGGGGAAGCATACTTGGGTCGACTTCGGCATGGAGCTTGACGCGGCCAATCTCGAGAACATCCGCGCCATAGGTGCTGCGAACATCTGCGAACTATGTGGGCATCATTGGTAGTCAGGCCGGCTGCAGGACCTTGAGGATGGTCAGCAAACTTGGCCTATTGAGCCCATCGCATGTCGAAGGGGTGATATCACGAAAGCTAGCACCAGCTAGCTGGCGTTGTCCTTGCTGTAGCAAGTGAGGGGCTGGAATCCTCGAGATCACCGCGTCACGTGAAAGCTTCATATGTAGAGGCGGCACCCCCCCCTCCCTTGAACGCTTGGTGTCGATATAGCGGGCTGTATTCTAATAATGCTGTGCACACTTGAATCTCATGTTTGTGAAGCGTAAGTTCAGCTCAGCGGGCTCGACAGCGGGCTCAGCGGGCTCAGCTGGCTTAGCGGGCTCAGCAGACTTAGCGGGCTCAGCGGACTCAGCAGGCTTAGCGGGCTCAGCGCACTTAGCGGGCTTAGCGGGCTCAGCGGGCTCAGCGGGCTCAGTGGGCTCGACAGGCTCAACG